ACTGCTCAATTGGACATTTTAAAATGTTTTTCCTTTTAATAGAGGAAACATTTTTTAAGGATTTAATTATTAGTATTTGAATATTGTATTAATATATGATTAATTAGTATATGAATATACTGTGTGTAATGAATAAGTAAGGCAGTGAATAAATTTTGAACAATAATTTCATATGAAGGAAATATGATCTGCCTGGGTTAAAAAATTAATCTTTAAATCCTATTTATGAGATTATATGGCTGGAAATCTGTAATCCCATAAGCAGTTAAAGCAACCCCCTCCCCAAAAAAGAAGACATCTTTAAATAGTTTCTTCCAAAACTTGAAATATTTAAACATTATATCGACCCTAAATTTCTAGTGAATTTAAGATATGCTTAATTATAAGTAAAATACTCATTTCATTCAGTTCAGCTACTAGCCATTATATGAAATTTTCCTATATTATTTAAAATGTTGCCTCATGCATTTTGCAAGGTGAAGACCACAAATGTTCTGCCCTCATAACTAATGATGATATAATAGCAGCATGAAGTAGACTTCAGCGTAAGGAATATGGAACTATATATTTTGCTCTTTGTTTATTAAGTTAGCTCACTTTTAAAAAATTCATATCATATAGTAAGTAGTATTCATAATTTTTTCTCATTTTCTTAATATTTCATTGAAAGTATTTAAATGTTAATTTAATTTAGCAATACCTAATAATGTCAAATGCATATATTATTATACAGAATGGGATTCTGACCATAACACTCAGTGCAAAGTGATATACATGTTAATTTTTCAACAAGTTTCTGCGTTATGCTTTTACTTTTACTCTCTACACATGTTTAATTTTAATTATTATTTTTTATATTATTTGTAGACCTTAGGTCCTACAAATAATAAAGTGACTTTCTTATATTATCCAACAGGATTATGTAATCGGGTAAAAAATGAAAGAATTAAGTTTATTGACACCAAAACAAATGCATACTTCGATATAAAGGCTGCATAAAAATGAAAATGGCTAAATTAAAATAGTGAATTGAGGTTGTAGAGTTCTCATTTATTTTTATTAACCAGCTATTTTATGATAATTAGCTTTTCTTTCTTCCTTTCCATTTTCCTGCCAGGATGCTAATTTTGAGTGTATTCAAATGAGGTGATTCATTTTGTTACTTTTGATTTATGCCATAAATGCTAGCTGATTCTGTATGAACAAGCTGTGCACTCTGTTAATTTGTCCGAGTCTATAAAAGGTTTTTTTACACCTATTCCAAACCTCTGTTGTAATATCCAAAACATAACGAGAAGTCGCTTAAGTTTTCCAGAGTTCTCACACACTATATATTACCAAAGTGGGTGAAACTCGTATAAGGTGTAAGAAAGACCAAAAGGAGATTTATTAAATCAAGAAAAGTAATCGGTGGAAAAGGCATTTAATCTTAATAATGAAAAATCGAATTTTACACCAAATATTCAGACTTTTGTAACTGTTTTATATTTAATTAGCGAGAGTTTAAAATAAAAATTACCTTTATATTCATAACATAGGTTACATTCTGTTAATTTCCCATAAATAAACATAAAGAATACATTGACAAAATCATTGTACTAAGTTATTTTCATTGTACTTTAAATTTAGGTTGTTTTCATGAAATTCTTTTATTAAACATTAACTTATACTTGATAATCAATCTTCAAGTTTGAAAATAAGTTAACTGTAATTGCATTTGTTTTATGATCAAATATTTTAATTTGGCATTTGAGCATTTCTAATGGCATTTCTTTTTCTGTTTGACATCTCTGCTCTGTTAAGGTTACAACCAGTTAAATTGTTACTGTGTCTCTGAAAAATCAACAGCATTCTTAAACACCATTTTAAAAATATTTCTGTGTGTAGTATTTTATCAGTAGAATTTTTCCTAAATAAATACAGAAGTTGTTATGAAAACATTTGAGAGTACATGTCTTGAAAGAGAAACAGTATTCGTAGTGTTTAGTCAATTATGATATATTAACAGCTATCATAATTGCATGTATGTTGTATGCATTATACATATATATATGCATAAAGACCCAATTTTGGCAATAAGTAGAGCTGTTACAAAATAATCATGAAGTCTAATGGAACGTACTCGTCACACATACTGGGGAGGAATCAAATTTATGTACATATTTGCCACTCTTAAAGAAATTTTTGGGGGGAATTACAAATGTACCAATTTCTTATTAATATATAATCATTTGTTAATATTAAAGAAAAATTTATTTCTTAACTTAACTAAGCCAGCTAAGTCATAGACCGAAATATGTGTTTCTGCACATATTCAGAACTTCCAGAATACATTCACAGTTACAAAATATGTAAAATATATTTCTTTTAAATGCTTGGAATATTCGGAAAAATATCTAAATTCAAAGAAATAATAAAATACATTTCACTTGCAGATTCTTTGTTATTTATTTGATTATATCACCATTAATAACAATGTTCACCCCCCAGAATAAAAAATATATTGTTTATGTACTGAAGTCTTGGTTTGTTTCCCTTGACAAGTCAATTAATCTATCATCAATGACAATACCTACTTTTTAAATACTTTTAATTTTGGCACTTAAAATGTTTGCATTTCAAAATAATATTTCTATGCAGCTTTTAAATAATTTTTAATGCAACAGAAATCTAAATAACTTCAAATGCTGGCTAAAATTCATTCCAATAATTCATCGCTTTAAATTTCTGTTCCTTGCAGATGATACAGGAAAAACCTTTTCTAATAATATATTTCTAATTCTACCAGAAATTATTGACAAATAACCCGATGAAAAAATTGATACAGGCATAGATGGAGGAGATGTAAATAATTATTACGAAATCATGTGAAGCAGTGTTTGCATTCAAAATGTAATATGTTATACTTATGAAATTCTGCACTTCACTTTGGAACTGTACAAATTTTCGCTCAGAAAAAGACTGAAATTCAGGATATATTAGTTGAAAATTTATTCATTACACTTTTAAGGAATAAAAACAATTCAGAATTTACCATACGTTACATTCGTACATACGCAAAGAAACACGGACATACGTAAAAAATATAGCAAGTATTTGCAAATAACATTGAAGAAATTTTACAATTCCTTAATGCTGTTTATTTAATTCTTTTAAATAAGAAATAAAAGCGTGAATATACGTTAACAAACTAAGCGGGAAAATTCAGTTTACATTACTGAGAATTACAACATGTAAACAAATTACATCTAAATAACGAATTATTAAGCACAATATATGGTAACAATTATTAAATGCACTGTTAGACAAATTAAAATGAAACATATTAGAAAATAAGCAAGTGCAATCGGTATGAACGTTAAAATAACTAATAAACAAAGTTCCACAACATTGCAGTTGTACACATCACTCGACAGCCATGGAGATCACGAATGAGCTAGCGTAGGGTTGCTTTTAGTCGCCAATATTTCTTCCCGCGCCAAAGGTACACCATCAAGCATGCGCAGTAAGCGAAATTCGCTTAACACTGTTCAACTCAATGTGCGGTCTGCCATTACGCATACTGGACCCATTTTTCATCGCTGGTGAGTACTCGATTAAATATGGATGCATTGCTGTGCCGAGTAAGCAATGACAAACAGGCAGCGACACGCTGCTGTTTGTTTGCATCGAACAATGAGTGGGGGACCCACTCACTGTCGTTCACCACATTCACTGTGTGCAGCAAGTTCGCCACATGTTTGGCTACTGTCACTCTCTATGCCTGCTCTCAGGGCCTCATCATCTAGCACTTGTAGCCAACTGCTGTGCGATGTATAGCTAAGAAAAATATCCCCTGACCTGAACTTCTGGAACCATTGCTTAGCGGTTCGTTCGTTAACAACATCATCTCCAAAGGTCTGGCAAATTTGGTGATTTGATTCTGCTGCTGACAAGCCCACTTCAAAACCATACAAAACAAACAACTCCGAACGTCTCTTCAACATGTACATTTCAATCAGTCGCTGTGTGAGTTATGTTTGAAGCACTGAGGCAGTGCACTTTTATGCTCTAGGTCAATGTACTCACTTCCATCCTAACCACTTCATTGACAGGTTTGGCGACTATTTTTATGTTGGGGTTCACTCTTCCAATATCATATCAGAAATGCCAAGAACTTTTTTTGGTTACCTTGTAATTGGTCAAGAAATTATTTTGAATTATTTATACTAATTTAAAAAGATTTTTCAAATTCCATACTGGTGTCCCTTATGAACTCGGTGGGGGAAAAAGAAGAATTTTGTTAACTGTGAATGGTTATAGGACATATACATAAATGGCATAGAACAAAGCTACTAATGCACTAAAAGGGAAATTTGCTTGAGAACTACAAATAGAGATCTAGTAAATGATCAAGATGAGTTATTGGCGGGATTCCAAAAGAAAACACTTTATTATGCACTACTGCAAGGCAAAATAACAAATATAACCTTTGACATAATTGTCACTGCTCAGACTGAATAAAAGGAGCAGCATTACAAGCAAAACACTGAATAGAATGAATTAGAAGTAAGTGAAGTATTCAAGAAAACATTCTTTTTACCAAGACAATGCCAGGCATCAGGTGGCACTTCAAAGATATTAAAATCTGATAAATTCTTCAATTTGTTGATATTAGCCCAACAGACTGCCATGTCTTTTGATGATTGCAAAATCACTTAAACAGGAGGGAAAAAAAATTGTTTCTGCAAAAATATAACTTATTTCACAGAATGCTCTGATGGAAGTCAGTAAACCTTATCAAAAGCAATATTAATAATATGGTATGAAGATAGGACAGCTTCATAAATCATGGAAAAAATTATATTATTGATTACATATACAGCTGATTTGTGAAAGATAATGTTTTCTATTCATACTTTTAAAATTTTTATTTAACACTTTCAAGAAAAGATGAGAAACATACGAAAAAATTATCCATTTGGAATTTTATATTACCTTAAGAATGAAAATTAACTTACATCTTCAGTAAGTGATGCAGGAATGCTCTCAACATTATTTAGCACTTCATGAAGTAAGGAATCAATATCCTGATGCTTCTCCAGAACACCTTAAAAATAATATTTTTTTTTATTAATTTCAAGCTACACTGCATTTTTTATAATGGCATAATAAAATATATACTTAAGTAAAAATTGGACTACCAGTTGTTAATTTATGCTTATTTGTTTGACCTATATAGTCAGCCCAAGCTCACCAAATTCCTCGAGGCAAGGAGCGTAAAATTATGCCTATTATTGGAAACACCCTTGAGCACCTTACAGGTGACAGTGGAATAGCAAAGTTGTGAAAAAATCTACAAGCTTAACAGATTACATAAAAATATGGGAACTGGATATACTGTTGATCAATATCTTCGAGATTAATCTACTGCTCGAAAAAGGGGAAAGAAATACTATGAGAAAATATTTTTTCACCTTTTAGATCGAACTATTTTAAATTCCTACCTTATATACAAAAAAAAAAAAAAAAAAAAAAAAAGCAATGCAAGAAAAAATTTCATTTGATTCTTCTTTTGTCTGTAGCTTGGAGGATAATATTAACCATTCGTTTAAAAGGTGTTTTCTTAGATAACTACCTGCATCTGATAAGAATAGGCAACCTTCAAGAGAATGCAAGGTTTGTTCTTCAAGAAGAGATGCAAACAATAAGAGATGTAAGAAGGAAACTTGGTACTACTGAGCAGATTGTGACACTGGACATTGCATCTCATGCTTAGAAATTTATCGTGCAAGAAAAAAGCATTGATATTGATTTATATTATGTCTAAGCTTCATAAAATTCCTTTTTCATGTTAAAACACATATTTGTAATTTTTTCCTACTTACTAAAAACTAACATTCAGTTATAATAACTTTTGGTTATTGGTTTTCCAGAAAAAAATTATATTTTATTAATTTCAAGCTAAAAAAAATTCCAAAAATTAAAAATGAATACATATATTGTTTATACACTTATTTTTAGACAATTTCCTGAATAAAAAAAAAAGTAGGCACTTTTTTACAGTTTTCTCAACACTATTAGTTATAAAAGAGTTATTTTCATAAGTGAAGCATACCAAATGAAATAAGTCAGTTATTGGCAAAATGAAAAATCCAGCATTATACAGATTTTACATGGAGAAAGTCTTCACAAAGCTGGATCTAATATAGTATAGAATGCCATGGTATTCCATCTAGTATGTATACTTTACAAAAAGTTGGTACATACATAACACTTGCGCTAGTAGAGAGAAAATATCAGCATAATTACAGCAATACAAAATAAATACTTTGATATAGATATCTCAATTTAGCATACATGTTATACACTTGCAAACCTTGAGATGAAATGAAATCATACCTTTAGGTGGCCTTAACTTTTTATTATTTGCCGCACACCAACCAACAGGGTAAAATCCGCCAGATTTTATATCAAACCAAAAGTCCGCAGATCTGTCATCGCCATAGCCAGCATATCGTAATGACAATAGTTCTCCGCATATCATTACAACGGTTGCAAGCCAGTAATAATTTTTATCCTCTGAATTGAGAATTTCTAACTTCATTCCCACTTTGAAACTACTTTCTAAACTATATTCTACCTATAATGTTAAAAATATACTTAGAATGAAAATTAATTAAAAAAATATACAGCTTAACAGAATTTATGTAACAGAATTTATGGCACAATACATAATGTATTAACTCATACTATATGCAACAGACTTCCAGTTCACCAGGGCTCATTTTAAAAACTAAGTTGGTTTATTGCAAAACAATAAAAAAACCAGTACAGTGTACAGTCAAAAGTCTTTAATCCGGACTCGTCGGGACTTCGGAGATTCCGGATTATTGATTTTTCCGGATTATAGATCATCAGTTTAAATCTGGTAAGATGGCATGCAGAAATTATAAAATTAAAAATATGAAACCATAATTTATGAAATAAAGAGCAATTATGATCTAAAGGGTATCAAAATTTACAAAAAAAAGCTTAATATTTATTTGTTTACTTCATTAAACATTTCTTTCAATGTAAGTTGTTCAAGTTGCTTCGTTTCATGTGATAATACTTTCTCTTTAATTCTATAAACAGACATAATTTCTTCTTCAGTTACAAAAGTTCCGCTGCTCAAGTCCTATAATTGCTGTGTCGAGAATACCAACTAATTTGTGAATCGAAATTTTTTCGTTTTCAATAACCTCTGTGTCACTTTCTTCACTATCGGAAGCGAATTATAATGACGAGGAATTTGATTTAAATCATATCAAAGACGGAGTACATCGAGATGAAATACTACATTTAGTAAGGAATTATAAGCCAAATAAAATAAAAACATCTGCCCTGAAGATAAGGATAGTGCTGACAGATCAACCTCCAATACATTGCGCTCCCCACACAGATTGATGATTTTAGTGCAATTATATGTGAAATTGTCATATTTTTCTGTATAGTATAACATGAAAATCTAAAGAGTCAGTGCTATGCCAGAAGAGTAAGGATACAGGGTTAAGTCTATTTAACATAATAATGTAATGGGTAAATGGCTATTTCGCTAATTTGGCATGATAATGGCCAGGTTGGAACAGTTTTGGAGAATAATTTTTATTGCCAAATGGACGCAAAGTTTGGCGACTTTTGATTCAGGTCCCTGTATCACCGTAATAGGTATTGTAATTGAATTACTGTAACTGATCCTGTATGTAACCGTAACTGAATTCGGCTCTCATATGCCTTCCAATAATTTCGAAAAGCACAAAGTACTAGAAATACCTTGTCAGGTGGGTGAAAACTATATATGACCACAGAGAGCCTCTACTGTTATCAGTTTAGTTCAGAGCCACTTTGGAGTATTGAAATATTCACGTAAGCTTTGTCTTTTAGATTCACTTTGCACTGCATTGTGTTTAACATTCTTACTAATTTGAAGTGTAAATTGAAGTGCAATCTAACGCATAGCATAGAAAACTGCTGTAAAGTTTTAAATTTGGTTAAGGAGTGACCAATACATCTTATTATTTTTTTTATGTTCCTCCAAAAAAAAGTTGTAATACCAACTTTTATCAAGCTCACATTATATAACATTCTAGTGTTTTTATGATTTTTTTAAATTTTTATTTACTTTATTTTTATCTGTATTATTATTATTTTTTTTACAGAAATAGGCAATTTTGAAAATATTTAAATATGACAATTTAAAGATCTTGTACAAGTTTCATAAACTTAAAATAAAGTTTCATAAAATCATTGAAGTTCTATTAGTTTTTATAATTGTTCCTTTAATTTTTCCCACCACAGTAGTGCCATATTTCTTAAAAGATATTTATACAGTCACTATTAAAGGGTTCTTTTATTTTTTAAAAAAAAATGCTTCTTAAAAATATCACTACTGAAACCTCAATCAAAATGAACTTTCATAGTTTAAAATAATGCAGGTAATTACATATATCTGCATATAATTTGCTATGTAGCTTTTAAAAATATATTAGAACAACAGTACAGTGGAATCTCGAGATACGATTCAATTCGCCCCGAGTTGAGCCATATCGGGAAATGGTGGCATGCATACCAACAGCCTGGCTCATTGCTCGAGTCTGTGCTCGTATTTAGAGACGAATTTTTCACTCATACTTTCCTCGCATCCCGTGGTTCCACTGTACATTAAAAGATGGAAAACATCTATACAAAATACTTACGTTATTTTAACCTGAATATTTTCTCAATATTTTTGCTCATTTATTTCCTTCCTTTCATTTACTTTTCTAAATTCATTTACTTCAATAAGTGAAACATTGCTCTTACTAGTTTCTCAACTCTTTTCTAAGCATCTGCTAATTTTTTCATATCTCCATCAATACTTATTTGAAAAAAAAAATTTTTTTTTCCCCTTTTGCTTGATGTAAGCAATTTTTTTCTTCATTTTTGAATCTTCAGAGTTAACTATAAACTGCACATTTCAAGAATGTATAAAAATTTTCATTTTAGTGTCGAAAATAACCCTACAGACATAAATATTTTAAATTGTTCATTTTCAATATCTTTACAAAAAAATATATTCCTTTACATCTTCCTTTCAGATTTTAGTAACTTTATAAAAGCAATGCAAATTCGCAAAAAAATTAAATAAATAATAGTAATAATAATAATTAATTAATTTTGCATATAAACTTATAAACCTAATGGATTTTTCTAAAAATGAAAAATCCATAAAAATTAGCTGATCAATTCCCTATAAGATATAATCTGACACAACAATTATCTCAACACCCAACCACCATCATAGATTCATAGGTCCACCTTTTTATTTTATTGATTTATTTTTATTTGAATGGTTATTTTTTTTTCCTCCATCCACAGGAATGCTTTGGATCATAGGTTTCCAATGGGGGCAGCACCATCTCCTTCCAGTGGGCACTGGAGCCTTCTATGGAGGTGGTAGCAGCTCCAGCAGCTAATGGGTATTAAGAAGGTCAAGAAGGTTGTTTGTGGTATACCTACTGATTTAGAAAATTAATACAATAAAATATTTTTTAAATAAATACTGTTTTCATGAATAAACATTTTATCTAGCTAGCTAATTTTTTTACCTTTATTGTTATCATGCTTGAGCATCAAAAAACTAAAATTAGCATTAGGTATGCACATACTTAATTCCATTTAATACTGTCAGTGACAAATCTTTGTAAGGAAAGCAAAGATGCATTTCACACAATGAAGCATGTTTCGTCAAAAATTTGGAAAATATTAATGACCAGTTTACAGAGCAATGATGAACAAGCAAAGGCACAAAAGTTCCTGGGAGCATGAAATAAAAATTGTAAAAGGCAGGAGTTTAGCCATAGGAATGTTTCATCTACACCAATAAGGCAACTAGGAAGAATTTCAGTTCCCTGCAGATCAAACTTCACTAATGAACCAGCTTCTTCGGGAAAAATCTGAACTGGTTCAGCAGATCACATCACCACCTCATATCTTCATGCATAATGGACAACATCTACTTCTTTATAATCACGCACAATTCAACCAAAAAGGACTCGAACCTTTTCTCTCATGCGGCCTTGATCCAAGTGACAAACATTTATCCCCTTTCCTCCTTCACCTCTACTGCATCTATGGAGGAAGAAATAGGAGCAGATGCTTTCCTTCCACAATGGCTGACACACTATTGTTAAGTTTTGATAGTTTAAATGGGTGCAACTCTTTTGCTTACATCAAAAGCATGTTACCTTAACAGCAGTTTAATGATATTTCTGAACATGATAAGACACTGCAAATCAAAAAGCACAGAAAGAAACATTCACTGTCTTCCTTCTTCCATCACTGTATCCATTCCTATGGAGATGCCAAGGCAGAATATTCATGGGTGCTCATTGCGGCAGTATCTCATCAGAGCTGGTTGCATAATATTGTCACGTAGATGAAGGAATCCTACAAATGAACAGGCAGAGATACTTATAGACAGCTGGTGAACATGCTCGAACATTCCAAACTAGAAATGTTCTGGAAGAATAAGAAGGAAATTTACATAAAAACCAACCATCAGGCATCTTGCTGTTCATGTGTTTTGAACCCGGGATCTTCGAGTTTCGAGTCCTGCATCTTCTCCACTAAGCTATGAGGAGCTTGGTTGAAAAGAGCAATTTTCGCTACATTTCCCCCTTCTTAGGAAGAAGCAGCGTCCCGCTGCAATCTGGTCTGGCTTCTTGTAACAGGTCTCCTGGAAATATTGGGCTTTCTTTCATCGTCTAGTTGTACTTTTGGATCAAGATAGGGCTTCAATCTCAATATGTGAATGATGTCTTTTGAATTTCATTGTTTCTTATTTTATTCCATACTTTCTACTTTGTACGTCACATCAGAGAGCTGCTGTGTTACTCAATACGGTCCAAAGTAACGTCTTAGGAGCTTTTCGGATAAGCCAACCTTTTGTACTGTTGTGAAGACCCAGACTCCGATTTTGTAGCTGACAGGTCGATGCCTCTTGTTGTATTGGCGCTTGTCCATGGCGTGTGCTTTAAGAATATAGAGTTTTGCAAGCTGTCTAGCTTCTTCAGCTCTAGTGATCAGATGTTCCATATAACTATCTTTGGAATCTTTGATACTGTATGGGAAAATTTGTCGAGAGGAGTCTGGATATCTCTGCTATGAATGGGCTGAATCCCGTTGTCTTGTTTGACTGAATTATAGGCATAGGTTACAAATAGTAGAAAACTATCCCAATTTTCCTGTTCAACGTCTACGTACATGGACAACATGTCTGCTAGTGTCTTTTTAAATCTTTAAGCTATCGGTTTGAGGGTGGTAAGTAGTTGTCAGAAGATGAGACATCTTGCATAGATGAATTACTTCTTTAACAACATTGGATAGGAAGTTGCGTCCTCGGTCACTTATCATTTCTTTGGGGGCACCATGCTTCAGTACAAATTCCTCAACTATAAACTTAGCAATTTTGCCGCCCTCAGCTGTCGGTATTGCCTTGTGACTGTAAATCTGGTAAGGTAATCTGTGCAAACTATAATCCACCGGTTCCCATTTCGAGTAACAGGAAAGCGTCCAAGTAGATCTATTCCAATTTTCATAAACGGTTTGCCAGGGGGTTTT